TTTTTCCTTTATAATTTATTTTACTTTATTTTAATTTTTTGGCCCTTATACGTGACTAAGGCCAAGTTTGGCAACAAAGAAAAAAGTGCACTTATTTCATCTTTTTATCTTTTTTGGGTCACATCAATCAACATCTCCTCTCTAATTTTTCTACACATAATACAAAAAAAGTCAAAAAGTGCACTTATTTAGTCTTCCCAAACTAGGCCTAATATGTAAAATCAATCAATTTTCAAAATCTAAATAGAAAATTATCTAACCCATTTTAAAAAACAAACAATAAATGAACTTGATTTTAATTGCAACATAGCTTCTTTTCTAGGATGTTGTACCTTTATAAAACTAGGGAAATACTGCTATGAATGCAAAAATTAGAAGCCTAGGTGTCGTTCGGTAAAATTTGCAGTTTACTATTTTTTATTTACAAAAACATGTTTGGTACATAAATATTTTAAAAACAAGTGAAAATAGAGATGGTGGCTTGAGGTGGTTTTTTGCAACCGGAGTAATGACCGAAAGTGGTTGCCACCGATAAGAGGAAATTGGCAATGATTAGAGGTGTATGTAGTTATTAGCTACAAAAAGTGTTGGTCGAAAGTAATTGTCAATAGTTAGAGATGATGGCTGGTCAGCCACCTAAAATGGCAGTTGAAAGTGATTTTCAATAAACAATGAGAGGTGGTTGGTGGCACTGGAAGGTAATTAGCGGTTGAGGGACGTTGGGGTCGAAGGTGATTGGCGGATGAGGTCGTTGTTGGTGATGGCAGTCGATAACGATGAGAATGAATGGCAACGAGGAAAGTTTGGGGTGGATTTATTGTCCCTCCCTGCCTCCCCTCACCCCATATCATATCGGGGGTAGGAATAGTTTAGTTTTGTAACTTTAAAAATAAAAAAATAATAATAATTAAAAATAATATAGTACATTGTAGATAATAATTTATAATTAATTGTTAAAAGATATAATATGATAAATAAATAAGTGAAAATGAATATTAAGTATAATATTTTAATATTTTAGTTTTATTATATTAATAAAATTTAATCATATAATATTAATAAATAAAATTGAGGTGGGGGCGGGGTAGATCGGGATGAGAGAGCAATGAGTGATAATCATAAAGAGTGGGAGAAAGAAGAAGAAATGAAATAAAAAAAAAATTAATAAATAAAAAAATTAAATAGATAACGAAATCAACTTTTTTGTATTTACAAAATTTACTAAATTTTGTAAACTGATTGCAACTTTTTGAAAATGAAAACATAAAATCAAATGAGATTTTGTTTATAATTTCAAAAATTTTATAAATATAAATAGAAAACAATAAATATAAATGTTACCAAACAAACCCTTAGCATTAATAGGAATAAAAATTATTCTTGTTACTTATTTTGAGCGCAATCAAAACAATTCAATATTATTTTGGAACATTATTTCAAGAGAATGCTTAAGTTTTTCTTATTATAAAAGTTAACAGCTATTGTTAGCATAAAGATGATTAATTTGTGGCAATGAACTTTGAGTATACTTGATATACTTCTCAGCAACAAACGTTTTATTTTCTTATCAAGAAAATGCGTACCATGGGTGTGTATATAGTTCGCACTGTGTGCCTATATAAATATATATATAGATATATATATGAGGGCTTATTAGAAAATTTTGTTAGAAAATTTTGTTTCAAGTACTTGTATTCTAATTAGTTTATAATATATTATTGTATTCCAATAAATCTTTAAAGTATGTTATGAATAATCTTACCCTTACAAATATTTTTTGTGACTTGATGATGTGAACATTCATATTTGAATGTGTGAATATTCACATTGACAGTGTGAATATTTACATCACGAAATATTTACATTGTCAATGTGAATTAAGACTATTTTGGTAATTATGTCATTCATAAGATTTATTGTGAACAGTATTTTATGAATAAACCTCACATGTTACGGAATCTAGATTAAGAAAATTAGTCTAAGGTCCCTATCCTATTTTTAGTAATGGAATAGATTCACAATATTATTTTTTGTGATGTTTAAGGTGCCTTAACCTTGACACCCATATATCACAGAGAATTTTGATTCTCTCAAATCAAACCTGTCTCTTTCTTTCTTTCTCTCTCTCTCTCTGCTCTTCTCTCCCCAATGAACTCCATCTCCATCGGCGCCATTGACAACTCTTCCCTACCGCCGCCATGTTCTCCCATGTCTCCTCTCGTGGTCACATCTACTCCATCATCTCCCATCTCTCTCTCTCTCTCTCTCTCTCTCTCTCTCTCTATCTCTCCTATATGTATATATACACACACATTGATAGATTTACAAACCTCTGTTTTGTTTTGTGCTTATGGTACGAATATGTGATTATTGAACACAAGTCCAAGAAATCTTTCATGGTAGGTCTGATTAGGGTTTGTTTCGTCTAGAATCTTTGATCTTTCTCTTTGTATGTACGTTTATATATATAAAATAAACAATTTCATACAAACCATACACATGTAATACAAGTTTATTGAAGATTAGGGTTTTGTTTTCTGACGTATATTCTATCTTTCTCTCTTGGTTTTTCCTTTGTTTTGTTTTCTTCATCTTCAGCAATATAATTGATACAAATATATGTTTCTTGAATATCCTTATGTTTATGTATGTACTTGAAACTCTGTCTCATGAATGATGTGATTACAATTTGTTTGACAATTTTGTATGGTGTTGATTGGTCTTAAAGGATTTGGGGATGTTGAGTTCTTGAGTTTTGGATTTAAAGTTTTAGGGTTTGAGGAGTTGTATATGTATTATGTATATAGACAAATGCAAACACAGTGAAGCCAGATGTTCTGTTCCTTGAACTTTTCATTACTGTTTCTTGAAATCCAAAAAAAATCTAGAGAAATTCTCTAGAAATCCAAAAAAAAAAAAAAAATCTCTAGACTGGAATCTAGAGAATTTCTTTGGCCTTTCCATGGACAAATGCAAATTACAGTGAAACCAAATGCTTTGTTTCTTGAACTCTTTATTACTATTTCTTGAAATCCAGAGAAAATCTAGAGAATTTCTTTGGTCTTTCCATGGACAAATGCAAATCACAACGAGACCAAATACTCTATTCATTGAATTCTTCATTATTGTTTCTTGAAATCTAGAGATAATCTAAAGAAATTTTCTAGAAATCTAGATAAAATTTCTAGATTGGAATCCAAAGAATTTCTCTAGGAAGTCTAGAGAAATTCTCTAGATATATGTATATTGGTTGTTGTTTTTGTTTATTTGGGTGATCGATTTGCGTATTACACATCGTGATTGGGAAGATAGAGAATTTTCTGGTGTTTCTTGAACTCTTCATTGTTGTTTCTTGAAATCCAGAGAAAATCTAGAGAAAATTTCTAGACTGGAATCCAAAGAATTTCTCAAGGAAGTCTAGATAAATTCTCTAGATATATGTATATTGGTTATTGTTTTTGTTTATTTGGGTGATCGATTTGCATATTGCACATCGTGATTGAGAAGACAGAGAATTTTTTGGTGTTTCATGAACTCTTCATTACTATTTCTTGAAATCTAAAGAAAATCTAGAGAAAATCTCTAGACTGGAATCTAGAGAATTTCTCTTGCCTTCCTATGAACAAATGCAAATCACAGTGAAGCCAGATACTCTGATCCTTGAACTCTTCATTATTGTTTCTTGAAATCCAAAGAAAATCCAGAGAAAATCTCTAAACTGGAATCCAGAGAATTTCTTTGGCCTTTCTAGAATTTCTTCCAGAATTTCTCTGGAGAGAAATTCTCTGGGATGTCCAAAGAAATTCTTTGGATATATGTATATATTTTTTGTTGTTGCTTATTTGGGTGATCAATTTGTGTATTGCACATTGTGATTGGGAAGGTGGAGAAATTTTCTAGTTTGAACTCAGAGAAATTCTTGCAAAAACTAAAGAAATTCTCTAGAAATTCAGAGAAAATCTCTAGACTAGAATCCAGAGAATTTCTCTAGATTTCCCAGAAATTCTCTGGAAAGTCCAAAGAAATTCTCTTAATCAAATATTCTTTGGATCAATGTTGAGAGACCTTAGACATTATGAAAATATTAAATGTCCTTTATGCTATAAAATCTTAATACCATGGATCCTTTAAAAAAAAAAAGAAAAAGAAAAAAAAAATCCCCATCTAGATCAATATTCACATGGAAAACAAAGAAATACATCCAAGTTACTAACAGTGGGCAGATGATCAATGTGAACTGGCCATTATTTTTGGGATTCTACTACTGTGTTTGGATATTATTATACTCGTTGAGAAAAAAAGAAAAAAATTTAAAAATAAAAAAATAAAGAGAGAAGAAGTTTTGCTTGTCATAACTTAAAAAAATCAAAAAGTCAAAAAGTCAATATCCTATTCAAGTCACATTATCTTATTCAAGTCACATTACCTCTCTACCACATCACTTCATCAAACCAAGCCCATACCCAACCCGTATTTCATAAAAGGTCAAAAAGTGCACTTATTTAGATCATTCTAAACCACCAAGTTAACTATGGCCGAGAGATCTTCTTCCAATTATTTTTAAATAATCTTCTATTCCACTTGAACAATAAAAACTATTAATTTCACCCAACTACACAATGAGTCTGGGGAAATCAAACCCATGAAGCCAGCTGACTTGAACTTATGCTATCAGGCGAAATTCCATGAATATTAATTGAGTTAATGTATTGCATTGGTCAACAAAGGCCTCACATATTGAGCAACACAAGTGAACTATGTACCAATAATGTATATGAAAGCAACTTAAAAGAGAACATAAACATCAATAGAATGACAGTAAGCATTGGATACCAAAACAATACTCAAATAAGTACTTCAATAGAGGTAAATTAGATATAATATAGAATTTTGAAGAGAGTATTATGTTAAATAATCATGAAGAGATTATAAAAGTCGGATAAAGAAAGAAATAGGCTTCTTCAAGCACCACCAACTACAAAAAAGCACAGTTGTTTTCATCAAGCAGAACGTGCTTGGTCTGAAATAGGAGATAGGCTTTCAATGAATTGGTAACCATAAGCATAACCGTCATAAGGTGATTGATGATTTGGCGGAAAATCACGAACCACCTTCCATCTTTTGCAGCTCTTATTACATAAAATGACTCTGCCAGGAGTAGCCAACACAAATGTGAAATAAATTTTTTTTGCTCCCTTCAAAACACACAACACAGAAAATGCATATGATGCATATCCATCAGCCAACTCAGGGAATACAGATCTCAAGGGTCTAAGATTGACTTGGTACTTCACAACCCAATTGTAGCTGTTCCTATCCATAGCCATCTGAAGAATTTTGAATCCCAAAGCAGAGGGGCGATTATTCTGAACAAGAAAGAAATGGCCACCGCATTCTAGAAAATACCGAACCTTAGTATGCGAAAATCTTTTGGTGATTGGATTCATTGGAATTTCTATTAGTTTCTCTGCCTCAATGTCAAATTGAAAGTGAACGTTCTTATAATTCACCCAATGAATTGCTCCATTCCAGAAGACCCCTTTCACAAAATTGAAATGGGTTGCAGCGACAGGCATGTTAGTGTAGCTATGTAATTAATTGTAAAGTAAACTATAATTATTGTTAAAGTAAAGCTTTCATTATGTTGTTCCCTTAGTGCACACTTTTGTGCTTTCTTCTTTCGGTCATCTCCCTTCTATAAATGAGAGTACCCTTCCCATTGTAAACTATATACACTGAACATATCAATATATTGCATTCCTTCTCTCTCTCTCTCTCTCTACCAAACTATTGTTACATGGTATCAGAGCAGAGTTCCTTTTCTCCGTGTTCTTAGTCCCGTACACAGTGGCACTACAGAACTGCTTCTGAACCATTGTATCTTCCTACCAACCTGCTCGGAATTTCCTCACGATTCTAGCGGCACCACCCACGTCACCAGAAACACCTTCACGCACCATAACGTGCCACTTCCGTGTTCGGCGCGTCTTTGCTTCCGCCGCCACTCTCATACATGCTTTTACACGCCTTCCGTTGCGTGCTCACGTCATCATCTGACGTCATCTCTCTCTCTCTCTCTCTACCAAACTATTGTTACATGGTATCAGAGCAAAGTTCCTTTTCTCCGTGTTCTTAGTCCCGTACATAGTGGCACTACAGAACTGCTTCTGAACCGTTGTATCTTCCTACCAACCTACTCGGAATTTCCTCACGATTCTAGCGGCACCACCCACGCCACCAGAAACACCTTCACGCACCATAACGCGCCACTTCCATGTTCGGCGCGTCTTTGCTTCCGTCACCACTCTCATACACGCTTTTACACGCCTTCCATTGCGTGGTTACGTCATCATCTGACGTCAGCCCTACCATTTTCTTGCGCCGCACCTGCTGCTATGCACCGCGTGTATGCCGTATTGCTATTGTACGCCCGCGTGCGCCATTCTGCTCCCTTGCGTCGTGAATGCGCCGTTTTGCTATTGTGCGTCGCCCGCCGTTCCTACTATTGTGCGCCGCTCCTCTGACTGCTATTGTGTGCCGCTGATATCATTCGGTCCTCTGCTGACGTCGTCATCTCTTGACAGCAGCCCCTTTCCTAGCTATTTTCGACCTTCCGGACTCACTGGTACTCTCTGTTTTACCAAATTTTGCTCATACAGGCTTCTTCCTATTTATTTAGTCCTACTCCATTTTTATCATGGATCGCCATGATGCCTTCTATCTAATTTTTGTTCTACTTAATGGTTCTAATTATGTACTGTGGGCCCAAGCCATGTCTTCCTTCCTCAAAGGACGAAAACTTTGGTGTATTATCATCGGGGATGTGACCAAACTGGTAAAAGCGGACGCTGAACTTACTGCCACATATGAAGACCGACTCAAAGATTGGGACAGTAAGAACTACAAGTTCATTACTTGGCTTTGGAATACCTCTGTTCCCTCTATTAGTCTTCAGTTTGGCCGTTTTCAACTTGACTCTGTTCCCAATCCTGCTAAAGCCGTTTGGGATTTTTTAGGAGATCGATACCAGACTACCGGTCTTGCCTATGTAACAATAGTTTGGTAGAGAGAGAGAGAGAGAGAGAAAAGGAATGCAATATTTTGATATGTTCAGTGTATATAGTTTACAATAGGAAGAGTACTCTCCCTTATAGAAAGGAGAGGACTGAAAGAAGAAAGCACAAAAGTGTGCACTAAGGGAACAACATAATGAAAACTTTACTTTATTAATAATTACAGTTTACTTTACAACTAATTACACAGCTACACTAACATCCCCCCGCAAACTCAAGGAGGGTAATCATCAACCAACTTGAGTTTGGAAACAAGATCACTGAAGCGACCAGGAGGATGAGCCTTAATTTCAATTTCTAGCAATCTTTCTTCCTTCTTCTTGTATGTGTGTGTTTGAGGTGTAAAGATTTTTCCTTGAGGTAAAACGATTTACAATGTATATAATGGATGTAGTGAGAAATTTAGTAGGTGTATGTTTAACAAATATCCTTTCCATTTTAGCCTTTTCACTCAAAGAAAATTGAATATTTTTAGGAGTAGTTTAAGGTGTCATTTGGTAATAGTTACAGTTTATTATTTTTTGTTTATAAAAATTATTAAACATATTTATGTTTATTTTGGATAAAAATGAAAACAAAAAACATGTTTGGTATACAATTATTTAAAAACAAGTGAAATTGAGAGTTGCGGGAAGTAATTGTCGACGATTGGAGATAGTGGCCGGAGGTGGTTGTTGGTCACTGGAGGTAGTGGCGGAAATTGTTGTCACCCATAAGAGGCAGTTGGCGTTATTGGCCACAAGAAGTGTTGGTCAAAAGTATTGTCAATGGTTGAAGATAGTAGCGGTTGGCCGCCTAAAGTGATTGTCAAGAAAAGGTAGTGGTGAAAGGTAAATTACCATCAGTGAGAGATGGTTGGTAGCAATGGCAGTTGGTTAGCAGTTGAGAGAGGGAGGTAGTGGCGGAAATTGTTGTCACCCATAAGAGGCAGTTGGCATTATTGGCCACAAGAAGTGTTGGTCAAAAGTATTGTCAATGGTTGAAGATAGTAGCGGTCGGCCGCCTAAAGTGATTGTCAAGAAAAGGTAGTGGTCAAAGGTAAATTACCATCAGTGAGAGATGGTTGGTGGCAATGGCAGTTGGTTAGCAGTTGAGAGAGGTTGTGGTTGAAGGTAATTGGCGGAGAAGTTCATTGGTGATAATAGCTGATAGCGATGAGTAAGGATGGCAACATGGTGGGTTTAGAGCGAATTTGTCATCTTCCACCCCCAACCTATATCATATGCGCCCGCTGGGAGGGGGGGCGAGAGTGGAGCAAGGACATGTAATTTTTTTTGTTTTAAAAATAAAGAAATAATAAAAATTAAAGGTAATATAGTATATTATAAATAATAATTTATAATTAATGAGAGTTAAAGATGTAAAATAATAAATAAATTTGTGAATGAATATTAAGTATAGTATTTTAATATTTTAGTTTTATTATATGAAAAAAAATTAAATTATATATATAAATATATTTAAAAAATAAAATTGAGGCAAGGACAGGATAGATCGGGATGGAAGAGTAATGAGTGGATGTCGGAAAGAGTAGGAGAAAAAAGAAGAAAAAATGAAAAGAAAAATTAAATAGAAAGCAAAACCTACATTTTTGTATGAAAATAGAAACTAAGCGAGTTTTTATTTACAGTTTTCAAAAATTTTGTAAATATAAATAGAAAATAATAAATATAATCAAATAGGCCATTAGGATTGACCTTTTCAGTAGTTTTTTCGTTAATTTGTTTTTTTTGTCAATTTTAGTGAATTTAAAAAAAATAATTTTTTTTAGAGTAGTTTTTTCGTTAATTTTTTTTTTGTCAATTTTAGTGAATTTAAAAAAAAATAATTTTTTTTTTAGATTTATAGAATTACTCAATAACAAAATAAAAAATAATAATAAATAAATTTTGAAAAAAAATCTACTATGGACGGATTTTTGAAAAAAAAAATACAATAAGGTCCACAAAATTTGACAAAACTTCTCTTTTAGTAAAACTAAATGGATCGAAACTAATGCGTGTAAAAATATAAAAATAAACAACATAAATTGTATATTTTCGTGTAAAGAATATGACATCATTTTTCATCCATATAACTAACAAATTATTAATGAAAAATGAACTCGATGTTATGTGAATTAAAATCTCAAGAAACTGAAGTAATTATATCAAATTTGTGAAACTTCGGCCTCGTTTGGGAACATGTTATTTTAGTAATTTTTTTACTTTTTGGCGAAAATATGAGGTAAAAAAAAACTAGTATGTTTGGGGTGACTTTTTGATTTTTTACGAAAAGATGTGCAAAAAGTAGAGAGAAAAGAGAATCTTTGACTTTTTGATATGGATTATAGACTTTTTGATTTTTTTAGTAACTTTTTGACTTTTTGGCTAAAATGTTAACTTGCCAAACGAAGCCTTACTATATTTTTTTCATATTTCGAAGTTCAGTATAATTTATCTAATTTATTTTGAAATAAAAATTATATATATGTATATATATCAAATTTTTTTTTTTAATCTGCGAAAGTTTGTTGTCAGTGATTAGATTAGTAGTACCTATAAGAGTTAGCCTTTTCAGCTTTTGCAAAGTACTAAGTGTTTTGTCTCCTTATTTCTTTAAAGAGAGTTGAAATTATGACCTCCTCTCAAAAACTTAAGTCTTAAAAAAGTTAAAATGATCAACTAAATTAGGCTTAATTGATTTGTTAGCGTTGCAACTTAGCAAAAAGTAGTGACAGGAAGTATAATTATAATTATAAGGCTTATCCTACCAATGATGAAGGAGCTACGGGAAGTTATGATTATTAGACTTGCAATTTGCTTGAAAATGACATCCATGATATATTGGAGGAAGGGTGTAATGTTATAATGCTTTGAATGTATTGAGGTGTTTTGAGTTAGAATTTCTCTAAAATTTTTTTGGAGTATTGAAAATATATGTGATTAGTCTTGTTTTAAGTGCTAACCTAATTGGAATGTTTAACTTTGACAATAATACAACTTCTTCCTAAGCTATTTATACCTTCTCATTATCTAATAAAAATTGATTTGCTTGCTGCTCAAAAAAAAAGGAAAAACAGAAAAAGCAGACTCTCAAGTATTGATTAGAAAGTGGACAAACAAAACAAGTGATTAAAGTTAGGTACGAATGCATAAATATATACTTAAATGCAAAATAATTTATGAACAAAATTTTTATACAAAATACTCCATCATAATGATATGTTAATGAAAAATATTTAAATTACAAGTCATAATAAAATGGGTTTAAATTAAAAAAGAAACTAGAATAAAGGGAAACATCTTTCTTTTAAAAAAAATTAAATTAGTGCACCTTAGGAATGGCAACGGGGCGGGGCAGAGCCGGGGACTACACTCCCCGTCCCCGATCCCCGAAAGTTATATATGCCCCGTCCACGTCCCCAATCCCCGATGGGGACTCATAGACCGGCCCCATCCCCGCCCCCGATCGGGGATCCTCGCCCCCGATCGGGGATCCCCGACCCCGAAAAATCTCCGGAT